AAATTTCAATATAAATATGATTAAGATATAAGAATAAACTAAATAATACAAGTTGAACAAGTTTAAATAGTTGAAATGAAAATCGCAGTATTAGACGATCTAATGATTGTAAATATTCGATTAGGGTGTGGGTGTGGGTGTCTATCATCTTTTAAACGATGCTCATACTCACACCCACACACACCCCACACCCCGCACCACCCACACCCCACACCCACACCTCACACTCACACCCACACCTCACACCCCACACCGACACCCACCCACACCCACACCTACCCACAGCCACAGCCACACCCACTCTTTTAAACCTATAGGACTTGGAGGTACTATTTAAAATGTAACTATTTAAGAACTATTAATTATTAAAAGTAAAAAACAGTAGATAAATTAATAAAAAATATTTAAGTTAAAGCACAATGCGATAAAAGCGATGATTAGAATAAAATTTGCTTGACCTCCTCCTTTATGAGCACTTCGATATACTGAACGATTTTCCTAAGTATCAATGGTGCTCACATTACACAGATTTTACTGTAGATAAAAGTTTTATTGAATAAAACGAAATTGATGATGAAAATCAAGTAAATCACTATACTAAAACATGTAGACCAGTATGTTTCAATGAAAAAGGTTAGTAAAACTTGGAAACAAAGTTTGTTACTTCAGTGTTCAAATATGATTGCGTCACTATTAATTTGAGTTTAGTTGCAACCATTTGATTTTTGCTTGTCTGTCTCAAATTTGATTTTTTGAAAGCATGAACAGGAAAATAATCAAATTAATAATATTCGGTTTAAATCAATGAACAAAATTTTGACGCAAAGTTTTCATCGAAGTTTTTCATTGAGGTGAGAATATTGAGTATGAAGTAGATAATTTAAGTTGAGAATGCGAATTCATTTACTTTTAAGCTCACATCTCATACTGTCTCAAATCTGAAAGTAAAATCACTCATCAACACATATTTGCTGTGTGTATCTAAATTTATAAGCAAACAACTATCGACAATTTATCTTATCTGTTGTTCAAAATTATGTTGTAAGACAATTGAAATATTGAATATATAGCACTGAAAACCTCTTGAATCAGTAGCATATTACATTTCTTGTAGTTATACAGACTATGAACGATGCCATCTGTTTTCTACACCACAATTGAAGTTTGAATGTTCTATGTACGATAACTTAGAAGTTTGTCTTATGAGTAAATGTATAAAAAAAAAACAAGTAATACATAAATGCCACATACATTATAGTTTAGCGTGACTGATCTTTTCAAACATCGTTTTTCTATGAAAAATACAAAATATTAGAAAAACTATTACAAGTTTATATAACTTCATAATGAACAAGACCAGCTATAATTCTGTAACATCTACACATAGTATTCTTTTTTATTTATATTGGTTAAGCTTTTAATGAAAGTATTTTTCGCGCGATAAAGACAGTGTCCACTGACAAATATAAAATATCCGGCAACGCTCTTTAATGATTTTGCGAATGTTCAGACATTTCGCTTGAGCATCTTTTCATAGAATCTTTCGTTTTGACTGATGCCACGTATTACGATATGCGAAATAGACAACTGTGAGGCAAACGCAATAACTGGTTTATTCGTCTTTAAAAAAGAAAGAAGCGGAAAAATAATGTAGAGATGAAAGAAACGAAACAAGAATAATTATCTTGAAAAAGAGCATATATATGTATAGGAGTTGACTTTCAAATTTTAGAGTCAACTAGACAAAATTCTTAGTTACCTTTGAAAGACAACTAGTTGACTCTAACATATTTGAAAGTCAACTTCGACATAAATATGTATAGATCTATGTATGTCTATGATGATTTATCAGAAGAGTTAAAGAACAAAAAGAAAGAAAGCCACTTATAACAATAATATATGTCACTATATCACAGTTGAAAATTTATATATATATATATTAATAAAAATAAACCATTTTTTATATTATGTCGTTTCGTCCATACAAATAATACTAATGATAAAATAATAATCACTCCAAAAACCAAAAATAATCCACTTACTGCTTCAATTCCAATTGCAGTCGATGCTTCAAATGAGTTCAGACAATTCTTTACTTCAAACCATTTGTTTCTTAAATTCTCAAGATCGCCTGATTCTCTTAGTGATAGAATATTGACATCTAAATCTTGTGCATATAACCATTCTCGAGGAGTTACAATACCAAACGCACCTTTGTTAAAATCGTTTCCAATTAAAGTTAAATTACAATAAATATTATTCGTGGCGTATTCACTAATACCACTATCTGTAAAAGATATGTCAATAATACCTGCGAGTAGACTCTCATATAAATGCGCTCGAGATGTCAATGGATAATAATTTTTATTTCCTTCAGATACTTCTCTTAAATAATATTCTTCCTCAGCGGCACCTACAAGAATACCGATACGATTAAATGGTATTTTTCCATTTTTAATATCATCAATTCCAGAAATAAAATCTTTTGATTTTGCTATTGTCAGTTCAGATGCCAAATTTGCAGTATATGATGCTACTAATATCAAACCTAAGATATATAAACCAGCAGTTAATAAACGTCCAGCAGCTGTATTGGTAGAAAAATCTACACCATATCCAATAAGATTACCAAAAGCATACCATACACTCATTGTAACTTGAGACAGTATTGAATGATTTTGTAATGCTTCGTTATCTTGTCTCTCTATTATAAACATCAAAATACCAGCAAAGATTACAGTACCTAAGACTAATAACCAGAGATTACGTGTAAATGTTTTCAAGAATGCGAACAGATCGGTACTAGTACGGGTTGTTTTTCGTGTAATAATACGTAAAGAATTATCAAATATAGCATTGGAAAAATCGACAAATTCTCTTCGTGCAGCGGTAACAGTCACATCACCTATCGCTATATCATAAACACCGTTACTTACTCCTTGAACGAATTCATTATATGTTTGATTTGATGGTACTAATTTCATAATTGGAATAAATCCCATTTTACTTTGTAAAATATTAATAAGATCTGGTACAAAGCCACTATATTGTATTGTACTTTGTCCAGATTCATCTATGACCTGTTGAACTATTGTAAATGGAGCTGATTCGCGAAGACCTATTCGTAAATTTACGCCATTGAGAATTGCTCTACCAGTAGGTGGTGTTAATGTATTGCCTGGCCATATTATAACATTTTCCTTTGTAGGTATTCTCCAATCATGAGGATGAGCATATTCTAATATGGAAACAAAATTCAAACCGTTCGAAGACGGTTGAACATTTTTTGCAGTATAGTACAAGCCAGTTATTCGATCTGTTACATTTACACTAAATTTTATAGGACCTGATACACCAAGAAATTCTGTTCTACTAACTACATCTAATAATGACTGAGAATGTATGAAACGACGATCATAACAGAATGAAGATCCAACAAATGGCAAACATGAGGAAGAAATATATTTTTTTGATGCACACAATTGTTGTAATGCTTGAACTAATGCCCATGTTGCATCAAATGCAAATAATGCATAATAATCTACATTCATCGATCCAGGAAATGATTCAGGGTCATATTGTTGCCAAATACTATATGCTGCATTTAATAATGTTGCATTAATTGATTGATTGACAACAGATCCTGTAGCTGGTTCAATCAGAAGCATTCCAATTAAGTTTTGATGGAATGTTTGATTGAAAGAATTTAATGAGATACTGGCGCTTAGTATCCATGTAAAATATGGACCAATTAAATTCAAGTCAAGAGCCTTTTGCAAAATCAAAGATGTATAAATTCGTTCAGCCCATAACACAACAATTCGTGTTGCAGCATTAGTTAAAAGACTTTTCAAATCACCACGAATACTAAATGTAGCAATATCAAAAGCAACCATTTGTCGGACTATTAATCCACTTCTATTAAATGCATCACTTATAACTTTGGCTCCACCATATCCAAATGCATCATCTTGATAAATTATTGTACAAGATGTCCAATTAAACCGAATGAATAGTTTTACAAGAGCTAATGCAGCTGCATTGTCCGAAGAAACTGTACGATAAAAAGTAGGATAAGTATTTCGATTAGATAAACCAGGATCAGTTGCAGAATATGATATAACCGGTATACCAATTTTTTCACCAAAAGGAGCAATTATAGAAGCTTCTCTTGATAATGCTGGTCCAATGATACCAACTATATTTGAACCCGACACTGCACGACATGTATCGCTCAGTACATCAATTATATTGCCAGTAGTTTGCTCTGCTTGCCATCCTATGAATTTTCCTGCGATTGTCATATTATATTGATAAGAAAGCAGCATTGCTGCCTTAAACATAGCCCATGAATGGGCATACGATTTGGTAGTGTCAGATGCGTCTGATATATTTCGAAAAAGGCCTAGTAGACGAATGTTAGAAGAGTTTGACGATGGCCAACTGGTTGTTACATAATCTATACTAAATTGTCCGACCATAAAGTATAACAAGAACCATCGAAAGTTACAAAACAATAACATCGTTGTTTAATTGTTCAATAAATAAGATGATCAAATTACGTATCACTAAAAAAGAAGTATACTAAAAATTTAAACCCAAAAGCAAACTAATATAAGAGGCAACGGTGACTGAGAAATCGAGTAAAAGTATTTTTGTCATATTTTTATATGATGCAATAGAGCGCGACGAGTTCTACAAGAATATCTATACCAAAAAAAAATTTCTAAAGGTATTATTTGAAATATAATTAACAAGAAACTTTAAAATAACTTTGAAAATATTCGTTTTTCGTTTATAAAAGAAAAATGTTCGATTTTTTAACAAATTGACCGTTTTCTATTGTTAGTTTTGATGTACATAGAAAGCTAGCGATAATATTTTACGATACTCATTGTTTATTGCATCGAGAATATTTCGTTGAATCTACAGGGTGGGCAAAAATATTATTCCAGGGGGTAACACTATAATTTCAAGTAGTATACATAACTAATTTTATATCAGAAGAAAGCGCGTCAAAAATGGAATTTATTGGTACTAAATGGTAAAGTTTATGAAAACTTTTTAATGTCGAACTTAAGACATTTTCAGAAATTTTATACTTTTTTGGAGTAGAAAAGTAAGATGCCAATAATTCTAAAATGGAGTAAATTTTTTTCTTGGATATTTTTACATTGTTTTATAGAGCTCGTGGAGCTCTATAAAACTGTATATATTAAAAAAATTTCTAAACCGTCTTTTTGAGATATAAATTTCAAGAAACTACTTGAAAAACCACAAAAAAGTTAAAAAAAGCTTCCTTTTTATATGCAAGAAAAGCACTTGGTTTTTAAATAAAATTCTCTATTTTCGTTATTTTTACTATCACAGACGTTTCGAAATATACTCATTCGATGCAGCGTGCAAAACTGTGTCTAATGAGTATATTTCGAAACGTCTGTGATAGTAAAAATAACG